GATGTCAGAATTCATTGTAAAAATGGATGAGCAATAAAGTATTTTTCCGGCAATGACAGCTTCTCATGTCCGTTAAGTAATGTATGCATCAATTAAGCCAATTACAATCAATTAAACTTCAAATTTAATCACCTTACGCTTGGCTAACCTCACATAAAACATAAACAAGTTGGCAAATTAGTGAACAGCAAATTACACTACAACACTTGGTTCTATTCCATCACCTGCAGACTTTACTTGTGACATCCAATAAACCAGGATCATTGATACTTTCTGAATCACAAGCTTTACATTAAACATGTGCATAGCAGGTAAGTTCATTTTGGCCGAACCGTTTTTTCCGAAAATAATTTATAGGGCAGAAAGCCAAAGTTTCACCCACATGTCAATTCGACACAGAAGAATTTTTATAAACAAAAAATTATTCTAAAAATGAATCAAAGGATCCAAAGGGGGGCAACAACAGGCCATTCAAAGGATTCTCAAGCAAAATGTATGCATAATATAAATATTATGTATATATTGCAGTATAATGATAGGAGAAATTTCCCATAATTTGTTTCACAGATCAGTTGAAAAAAAGTACTAAACAGAAGGAAAAACAGGAAGAGCAGTAAAAAATCTACAATTAAACATTTAGATATTATATATTTATTAAATATATAATATATAAATATAGATTTTTTTTGTTAATTTCTTCCTTTTTTCATAGAAACATAGAATGTGACGGCAGGTAGTAACCATTCGGCCCATCTAGTCTGCCCAATTTTTAAAATATTTTCCCTCTATTGCTTACTTCTCACTTCATCTATGAATAAAATCAACATTTATTAAATGTCCCCTAGCCACCAATCATCTTTTTTTTCTCTCATCATTCATGTATTTTTTGGTTCCATGTGCTGAAGTCAGAATAATGAACCAAAATGAATATGCTTAGCCATAGTTCGGTTTATGGTTCACCTACATTTCATCTTAGTTTAAAATATCACACGTTGGGCCCAAATGTAGACGAATTGCAGATATGGAATGAAATTAATGAAAGTCTACTTTACATGCCTCACTTGCAAACCCAAGTTTGTCCTACACATGGCTTCTGAAAATATGTTTACTGCTTACTATAAAGAAAGATGAGATATATCACAAGTTTTATCACCATAATGGCACAAACAAACATGAAGAATATGTACCATTTAAAGAAAGCTAGGAGTTAGTACATTATCAATATCGCACATTCCTGATCTTAAAAAGGTTAATTTATATTGAGCAAGTCAACACTCAGCTCCGGGTACCTCTTTGAAAGTGACCAAAGGAAAGCAAAACATGTCAGGAGCCCCTCTTGAAGCAGTTTAAGCAGTAAGTATTGCACTGAACATATTCATCTCCCATGTTAAGATTAGTGTATGGTCCACAAATATTGGGGTACTATGACATAGTGGTAGACTTTAAAACAGTTCAGTTTGGTGTGACTAAATCCCCATATTTATTTCCTAAGATTTTAAGTAGCCTTTATTTTTAACTGACGGTGTGTCAGAGTGGTTTTTTTTCATGCATTTGCATGTGTGTGCCTATGTGTGTCTATATGTATAGTGTGTGCCTGAATGTTTCTCTAATAGTCTATAACAGGTTTTCCTTGTTATAGAGGGATCATGGAATACAGTCAGGTCTGAGAATATTTTGACACTGTCAGGAGTTGTGTTACTTTGGCTGTTTACCAAACAAAATTCAAGTTCCAGTTAAATAATAAATATGGAGACGACCTACTGCCAGGACTTCGACACATATAAACCGCTAAGGGGTTGAGAACATTATCTGACATCAACAGGTACTCTGGTACCACCTTCTTCCTGCTTTTTTATTACAAACAACTGCAGAGTTTTGTAAAGATGCTTTCCCAGGTGAAGGCACTGTCACTTGACCCTTCACTGTTTGAGCACACGAGCCTGGACCCAGATCCCCTGACGCACAGGGTTTGTTTCCTCTATTCTATGTTATAAACACATGGACCAACTGAAAAACTAAGCTTTATGGGGAAATACCTGCACCTTTGGAGATGCGAAGTGGGAGAAAATGTGCTACCTTACCCACCACTGTTCAGTCTTCCCAAGAGACAGCAGGTAAATTATTAACTTTCTGGAACCATACACCCTCTATATTGCATGCAATTAATCAGAAACACTTCCTGTGCTAGAAATGTGGAAGGGAGATGGGTTCGTTACTCCACCCATCGTGGTAGTGCGTAAAAATTTGACCCTTCTGAAAGGAGATCTACAATATGTTGGAGATGTTCTCTGACAGTCTTCCCCCCTTCGAACCCACAGTAGTGTAGGTGTTCCACAACAAGGACCATAGATCTCTATTTAAAAAGTCTCTCATTATCTGCATTCTGAATTTAGCCACACCTCACAATTCTGAAACAATCAGTGACTCCTCCACTCTCCACTTAGTTCTCACAAATGGAGTAGCTCTAGGTGGTAGAGGATCTCTGCATGTGTGCAGATGACTCACAACATGCCAATATGATGATATGGTCACACTGGCTACTGACTACAGCCAGGACTAATACAAATTATATTTACAAAAAAAAAAAAAAAGAATAATGAATATGGGCTTATAGTGCAGTCTCTCAGCTTTAATTTAAGGATATTCACATCCAAATTGGAGGAAGGGAAGGGTTTAGGAATTACATCCCTTTAAAATGTAGCCCCCTCTTTTTTTTGCAACACAAAATGGCCTGGGTGTCCACGGAAAATACAACAGTGGTGAATGATAGGATCCTTTCTATGGTAAAGAAAAACCTCTTCATAACACAAGGCACGTGAAGACCGCTCACCAGGGGGTAGGTATATCATTATCCAAGTTTACCATAAAGACTTCATGAGAGTAAAAACATTCATAAGTCTCAAAAATAGAAAGGCAAGATTAGACTTTGCAAAAAAAAAAAACATCTAAAAAGCATAAAAAGAATGATGGGAAGAAAAAAATATGGAGAAGGCTTGGAACAGCTCATGATCCAAAGCATGCTACACCATCTGTAAAACACAGAGGAGGCAGTATCATGGCATTGGCATGCATGGCTTCCAGTAGCACAGGGTCACTAGTGTTTATTGAAGATGTGACAAAAGACAGAAGCAGCCAGATGAATTCTGAAGTGAATAGAAATATATTGTCCACTCAGAGTCAGCCAAATTCAGCAAAGTTGTTTAGATAGTGCTTTACTTGACTTTACAGATGGACATTGACCCAAAACTTATTGCGAAAGCAACCCAGGAGTTTTTTTGAGGCAAAGAATAGGAAATGTCAATCACCGGATTTCAACCGGATCAAGCATGCATTTTACTTGCTGAAGACAAACATTAAGGCAGAAAGACCCACAAACAAACAACAACTGAAGACAGCTGCAGTAAATGCCTGGCAAAGCATCACAAAGAAGGAAACCCAACATTTGGTGATGTCCATGCGGTCCAGACTTCAAGCAGTCATTGACTGCAAAGGATTCTCGACAAACTATTAAAAAATAATATTTTGTTTATGATTGTGTTAATCTGTCCAATTACATTTGAGCCCCTGAAAAAAGGGGACTGTGTATTAATATGGTTGCCAGTTCCTAAACATTTCATACAATACTTTTGTTCAATACCTGAAGTGCAGCTAAAAGTCTGCACTTTAACCCCTTCCCGACCTTGGACGTACCAGGCATGTCTGACAAAAAAAACAGTCATTAATGACCGAGGACGTACCTGGTACGTCCGATCGCAAAGAGGCACTTACCCCCACCAGTGATCGCAATGTGGGGACTTGCCTGGCATCCCAGATGCCCCCCCCTTCCCCCCCCCGGGCCATGTGATCACGGGGTCCTCGCAATCACATGGCCGGCTTGTGCAGTGCCTGCAGGGGAAGTGCCTGAGCTCTCAGCCTGTCCGTTTCACGTCTGCAAAAGAGTTTTAAAAGTTAATAAATATTGTTAAAAAGTTGAATGAAGTAAATAAAAGTACTTTGTGCTCCGGTGCACAATCCCCAACCAAAATATATATACCTAGTAGAGAGCACTATATATACACTGCTCAAAAAAATAAAGGGAACACAAAAATAACACAAGTGTAAAAAGGAATTAAAAGACAGATCCCCATAATCACAAAAATATGTGAATTGGTGAGAACTGTCTTAAAAAGAGCCTACCTCAGAGCTACAATATAGGGGGTAACCCAGAAAGAAATATAGTTGAATGACGGAGACCCTTGAAACAAGGGAATCCCAGAAGTAGCTGCTGAACTTAACAGAATAAATAGTATAGTTACCAGGTGGCAAGTAGAGAAGAACAGGGGGCTGTACTTGTAAGTGGATAAAAGGGTGAAGGGGAATAAATAGAAATACCCATATATACCCTATATAAGCCACTTCTAGTTGTATTTAATAGCAGAAAAGGAATGTCCCTTTAACAAAAAAACAAAAAAAAAAGAGACTCTAGCATTCATACTAGAAAAAATGTCCAAAATTAGGACACCTAAGCTGCAAAAATACAATAAGGCAACACAAAATATGTGTAATACATAAATCACCCCACTAATATAAAGGCAGGCAAACAGGAGCCTATACAAACATGAATAGGAGAAAAGAGAGCAAAGGAGGACAGGGGCAGACCCACTAAGGACAAGCCCTAAGTCCAGAGGACCAAAAAATGCCTGCCTAGAAAAAACTCTAAATGCCAAATAATAAACTGCTAACTATACTAACTAACTAAATCAAACATACTAACTACCTAAGTGCTACCTAATTTGAGAGAAAAAAGATAAATCAAATAAGGCGCTCGACGCGCGTTTTAGCGTGCATACACGCCGTCGTCAGGAGCTATTGCAAATGCAGTTCCTACTGAAGCCGGTTAAATACCTGAGCAATCAGAGAAAAGTCCCTCCAGCTGATCCGGATCAGTGTTTTTTTACATTAAAATTTGCCAGATTGGTTATGTTGCCTTTGAGAGCGTGTGGTAGCCCACCAGCATACCATTTGCAAAAGAAGACAACCCAAGGTATTGCAAATGGGGTATGTTCAGTCTTTTTTAGTAGCCACTTAGTCACAAACACTGGCCAAAGTTAGCGTTCATAATTGGGTTTTTTTTTTTCGTTTTTAACACACAAACAAATATAAATGCTAAATTTGGCCAGTGTATGTGACTAAGTGGCTACTAAAAAAGACTGAACATATTGAATACCCTGGGTTGTCTATTTTAAAAAAATATGTCCATGTGAGGTGTGATTCAGAGATTTATGACAGATAACAGTGTTACAATGTCACTATTGATCAATTTCAAAAATATATGTTTTGAACCAGCAATGTTGTACTTGCACTTATAGCCCCATAACTTGCAAAAAAAAAAAAAAGCTAAGAACATGTTAACATTGGGTATTTCTAAACGCAGGACAATATTTAGAAACTATTTAGCACAAGTGTTTTTTGGCGGTTGTACATGCGTAACAGATTTTGGGGGTTAAAGTTAGAAAAAGTGTGTTTTTAAAACTTTTCCACCATATTTTACAATTTGTTTTATTGTAAATTATATGATATGATGAAAATAATGGTATCTTTAGAAATACCATTTAAAGGCGAGAAAAAACGTGTATAATATGTGTGGGTACAGTAAACGAGTAAGAGGAAAATTACAGATAAACACACCGCAGATATGTAGGAACAGCCCTGGTTCCAAACGGAGAGAAAATTGAAAAACTGTCTGGTCACTAAGGGGTTAATTGCATCTCGGTTGTTTCATTTTAAATCCATTATGATGATTTTGATGATTTTTTTTTCTGTTTCTATCCATCTAATACAGGCATCTACTCTAAAGGTAATTGTATGTTCCTCAATAATCTGAGATCCATTGTACTACATATTGTATAACATACTATGACAGACCTCTTTGGGTTGATACTTGCAGGAGTCCCCGTAGATATCCAGATATCGAAACCTGTATCTGAGTAGACCAAAAGTGTATTCAATTTCACTATCCTAAAAGCTGGAGAACACAACTTTGTCTGAGGATATATACATCATGTACATTTCCAGGAAATATGGCATTGATTTGCAAATCAATGCCATATTTCCTGGACGTGTACATGATGCATATATCCTCAGACAAAAGTCTGAGTAGCACAGCCAGTTGGGTGTTAGTAATTAAGTAGTCCTTCCTTTTTTGGAATAAGTCCTGTGAAAGATGTTCAAGTCAGATCCTCTCGAGTTTAGGTCACTCATCACAGACTTTTAGATAAGCAATACCATGGACACACTAACGTGTGCTGCATATATACGATTTTCCAGAGGGACATACATGTTTCTAGACATTTTCGAATATGAAGAAATACATAGACTTGAAATATCCACCCTTGAAACCTCCCATTTAGCCATACTTTTGAAGGATAACCTATTGCCAATGATCATCTTCGACATAGTATTTCGCTACAATATTTTGTTTTGTCATTAAAAAAAATCTATGCCCTGTGACGCGGACTGCTGGTGGGTGGTTATATATATATATATATTATCTGACTAAACACACACACATAATACTGATTGAATAATGATAATATTGAAAGTTAGATAATGATAAAAAAACATAATGATAAAGATAGCAGATACAAAAATAATCTTGAAATCGTGTCCTTTTCCCCTAACCTAAACATGTTCTGTGGTTGGTATCACCAGCAGAAAAATTTCTTTCTGCAGTAAATTATAATGAATTGTTATCTCAAACAGTTATCTAAACTATTTCACAATATAAGTCACCATAACCTTCTGCTTGATTAATGCATCCAATGGTGCGTGTACAAGTTACAATACATAGGAATGGACACTTCTACAGAAATATAAATTTTTACATATTTTCTGTACATTATTTTGTATTATTTGGAAGTAAAAGTATTTTAACTCTTCCATCTGATTATTGATTTCTACCTGGGAAAGGTGAACATTGGAATTGCTCTGATAGCCAGAATAAGTTGATTATTCAATTGCTGATACAATATTTTGACATGATTATCTTCTCCAGGTGTATAAGGTGTTATTTTAATTTAGTTCTCCTTCCCTTTTAACCATACTCATGATATTTTACGTCAGTATTTTGCGATATTGATTCTATTCTTCAGGTGTTTAATGATTTACATTAATTTAGTTCTCCTTTCCTTTTAAGCATATAAGTGGATGAGAAATATAGAAATATCATACAGGTGTATAACTTTTATTCCTAGTATAGAACGACAGAATACTTGTGACAAAAAAAATAAAGAAATCCACATACAAAAATCAAATGAGTATTTTTTGATGTTTTATTACACAGTAAAGAATACAACAATACCTGAATCATACTTTAAAGATTCACAGGTTGACAGACCATACAATACAGTCCAACTAAAGAAAAAGAATTAACAAGAAACCACAGTTCAGACATAGTAGACTTAAAAGCTTAAGGTTATTCTGACAGAAGCATGATGCCTACCCCCACCCTCTCCCCCAGTGTTAGTCTACCATTAACTTGTGGTATGTCTGAATTAAGTATTGCACAACAACTTTTTTTTCACAATAATGTTGCAGAACCCAAAAAAAAAAAAAAAAAGTACTTCAAATCTGCATTTCAACAGTCTCCAATTTGTTTTACTGTCCATTGAAGAATTCGGACAACATGGAGTCATGTTTGTTTTTTGCCCGACCCACCCCCACTTTTTAAAGTATACCAGACTTTAGGCATGCTTTGCATAAGTAAACCAGCCTTGTTTTATTTTAAACCCCAAGACATGCACCTACACAAAATTAAAACTATAAGGACAACAGGCGGCCCTGACGCACAGTCCCATGACAGAGTAAAAAGAGGTTTAGGGGGAAGGTCACAGAAATTAGGAGAGAGGTTAGAAAGAGGACAGAGAGACAAAGAGAAAAAAAGAGAAATAGAGTTCCGCGTATTCGGATCTGCGACCACCATTTCATTTTATCCAATGAAGTTAACTTTTGTTTTTCATGTGTTTATACCTACAAATTATACTCTCACATAGCCTGTATAGAGGTGACAAGCAAAAAGGAAAGTAACAAAAGGTTTTTTTTTATTTTATTTTTTTTGTATTTTTTATTTTTCTTTAAGTTTATGAGGTCTGCATTGTTACCAAGAAGTGATATGGTTTGCAGCTGTATGAGATTTCATTTTGGTATCTTGGTTCTTTTGTGCCCATTTGGTTTGATTAGACCAGTTTTGTTAGCTACTGGTGCAATATACATGCTGTTAGAGGTAGAGTGAAACTTTTTGCCACTGAGGAGACTGTAGCAAAACAGGAGTAAAGAAATAAGAGAAAGAGATATAGAGTTCAGAGTTAGTGGTGGGGAGATTTGTATGATTTTACTCAGGGTGCCCTGAATTCAAAGTAATGAGACATAATGTACGAATCCCTATTTTACACACTAGTGTTCAGAATAACAGAGCTGTTAGAGTACATCACAGCTTTCATTGAGTGATGGATGACTGTGAGCAACCATATTTCTATTTACTTATTTATTTACTTTTTTATTTTTTGGGATTGATCCTTCCTTCCAAAACTGAACATACATAAGCTCTGTTAGAAAAGACGGTCCAGTGTCAGAAGAAGACAGGAAAACAGGGTGGATTTAAATAAATCTGGGAGCACCATGGTAAGAAATAAGTCATCCAAGGCCTGGTTTAAATTGTGTTCGTGGCACGTGCATACGAATTTTCACCAATCCAATAGTTGGTAATAGTGAGTAAAAAAAACAATAAAAAAAAAGTAAAAATAAAAATAAATAAGGCATATGCATATAATATGTAAGTGATTATTGATGGAATTTTTGTACCAGTTACACTGGGTAGGCATATACACATACACACCACTTACTACTAGTTTCTTTGTATGCAGGTGTGAAAATATGCACATACTCACATCTACACATATTTAAAAATCTATCCTACTATACATAATACATATTATGCTATATGATTAAATACACATACGTGTATAGATAGATCTAGAATGATAAAATTTCACTGAATAACAGAATAGCATTTTCAGATTGGTATGCTAGATATTTCTTGAAGGATATGTCTAAAAATTCTGCAGTATGTGTGAAGAGTAATACAGCATTACAGTACATTCATACAATAACAGATATTTTTAATATCTGAAAGCAGAAACTGGAGCATAATACCACATATTGTATTCAATGTACATACCTTTTTTAAAGCACACTAAACCAGGCCTTGGAATATTATAATCACAACTAACAAGAAGTTCTGGTCTGGACACTGGACAATAATAGGGGGAAATGAATTCACATTACACACCTTATGTTTAACCTGCTGATCTTATGGAATATAGTATTGGTGCTTTCAAAATTCAAATTTTGGTCCATCAGATCAGTCTTTGGCTGACTTTCCTTTATCTAGAATACTGTATGCCCTGGCATTTAGCAGTGTTAAAGCTGTCAATCTACATCTCAGCATTTGGAATACTAATTATAATTTAGCAAAAAAAAACAAAAATAAATCAGAAAAAATGTCATCTTACCACAACATGCATGCACTGCCCTTTCATATTTAAGTGTGATATCTTGTTAAAAAAAAAAAAAAAAATCCATATTACTGAATTTGGGAAAAAAAATAATGAAAAAATACACTATGACTCTTTGCTAAAGATAGATTAGTGAAATGGTTCTAGACTATTTAAAATGAGTTTGCCATAAAATACATGCCTAGGGAGTCATTGTGACAGTGCAAAATACATTTATGTACATCCTTCTTACAAAAACACCAATATGTTAGCATTCCGTGAAGCATGCTAGATTCCAGAAAATAAAAAAAAAATATATCCGATAACAGAGTGAATTAGCAGCTCCGGTAGATAGCATTCATTTTCCTTTGTGAAAGGCAAAAAAAAAAAAAGTAAAGTTAAAAAAAATAAAATATATATATATATAATTAAAAAAAAATGGGGTTGTTTGTACTACTAGAGAATTGTCACTAACATATACAGATATAAAAGCAGCATAGAAAGTTACAGGTTTGTCACCAGCTAAGAATAAAGAGATTAAATGTGGGCGATGATAAAACTACAATGCATTTTCACATTTGTCCAACACATTTACAAGAAAAACACCATTGGGAAACTCACAGGACATGAGTGTTTTTTTAACACCAAGAGAGCTAGTTTTTTTTTTTTTTTTTTCATGAACTTTTCCAAACAGAATA